CCCATCCCCATCCCAATCCCCATCCCCATCCCCATCCCCATGCCCATCCCAATCCCAATCCCCATCCCCATCCCAATCCCCATCCCCATCCCCATCCCCATGCCCATCCCAATCCCAATCCCCATCCCCATCCCAATCCCCATCCCCATCCCCATCCCAAGATCCACAGCTTATCCCATGGGGGAAGAGGATCCATCCCCATCCCAAAATCCACACCTCATCCCGTGGATGAGGAGAATCCATCCCCATGCCCATCCCCATCCTCATCCCAAAATCCACAGCTCATCCCATGGGAGAGGGGGATCCATTCCCATCCCCATACCATCCCCATCTTCATCCCAAAATCCACAGCTCATCCTCTGGCGGAGGGGGATCCATCCCCATTCCCATCCCCAAATCCACATCCCATCCCCTGGGGGGGGCGGGGATCCATCCCCATCCCTGCTCCCAAAACCCCCAGCAGAGCCTGGCCCATTCCGCTGGAGTCGCTGGAGCAGCTCGGTTTGGCCGGGGGGATTTTTCCCGATAATTCCTGGGGAATAATTCCCTTTGGATATAATTCCCTTTGGATTCCGATCCCTCCCCACCCTTTGGATCCCTCACCTCGCAGCAGCTCCTCGTGGGCGCACACGGTGCGGACACAAATCTCCTTGTTGATGACGTAAACCCTGCGGAGGCTGGATCGGGAACGGGATAAAAGCCATGGAAAGGGGGGGGTCAGGAAAAGCAGGGGGGATTCCCAAGCTTTTTGGGAGGCTCGGGAAGGGTTTCCTGCTCACCTGTAGAAGCAGATCTCGTTCAGGCACTGCTTGCACGGCTTGTGCACCGAGTAGAGCCGCGTGCAGGGATACTGCTCCTCCCGGCAGTCTGCGGGAAAACGCGCTGGGAATTCCCGCGGAGGGGCCCGAACGCCTCCCCCCTCCCGCCCCGGATCGACACATCCCGGCTCCAGAGGGATCAAAGGCAGGATGAGCCCCCCCGGGATCGACACTCACCCAGCGGTCCCGGCTCCGTGGGCTCGGTCTCGGGGGCGGCGGCTGAGGGGGGAAAGGAGGGGGAAGTTTAGGGATGGGGGAAAAGGATCTCCCCACCCTTTCCTTGGAGTTTAGGGGTGGAGCAAAGGGATCTCCCTGTCCTTTCCCTGGATTTTAGGGCTGGAGTGTCCCGCTGTGGGCACCCGGGGGGAGCAGAACTGGGATGAGGGAGCAGAGGTGGGGGGAGACCCCTCAGCCCTGGGATTGAGGGGGCCAGGGGGGTTGTCACCCACCTTGGGGAGCTGTCACCCACCCTGGAGGGTCTGTCACCCACCCTGGAGGGCTGTCACCCACCTTGGGGGATTGTCACCCACCTTGGGGGCTTATCACACTCCTCAGAGGGTTGTCACCCACATGAGGGGACTGTCACCCACCCAAAGGGGTTGTCACCCCCCTGGAGGGTCTGTCACCCACCCCGGGGGCTGTCACCCACCTTGGGGGGTTGTCACCCATCTTGGGGACTGTCACCTACCTGGAGAGGTTGTCACCCACCTGGGGTCGGGGCCGGCACAGTTTCCTGCTGGGATTGCTGCTGGGATTGGTACCGGAACTGCTCCTCAGGGGCACGGGGGGTGACATCTGCAGGGACAGTCGCAGAGCGGGGGCATCCCCCAAAATTCCCGCCCCATCCCACCCCCCCCGGCACCCCCCGGGGGTCACTCACCGTGGTAGTCGTAGTAATCCTGGATTTCTGGGGAACAAAAGGAAACCAGAGGCTGAGGGGGGGGTTTAGGGAGCAAACTCAGCCCAGCCAGGCCGGGGCTGGGCAAGGAGCTCCCGAAAATTTGGGTGGGAGCGACGGGAAAACACCTCTGGACATCCCAGGGATGAACTGGGAGCATCCAGCAGGTGGGGTTTGGGGATTAATGAAGGTTTAATGAATAAGTAATGAAGGTTTAATGAATAATTGGCAGCACGAGGGAGGGGAGAGGAGGGGGAGGAGAGGGTGTTGGGAATTCAAGGGGCAGGAGAAAAGGGATGGAGCAGAGGGTGCTGGAGGGAAAAGAGGGATCAGAGTGGTGGGTGTTCAGCCAGAGAAAGCAGGAAATGAAGGGAAAAAGAAGCATTCCCAGTTGTGGGAGCTCTCACCTGCCTGCTGGTCGTACTGGGAATACTGGACGGGCTCGGGGTAGGTGATGCCCTCAAAGCGGCTGTACTGGCCCTGCACCAGCAGCACTGTGGGACACAGGGGGGTCACCGGGGCACGGACACTCCAGCCAGGGACTGGGGTTCCCAAAATCCCAAAATCCCATCCCTCTGCCCTCTGTGTCCCCGGGAAGAGGAGGGAGAGGGAAGGGGCTGCTCCTGGATGAGGGAGCAGCACCAGCCTGGGGTTACCCAGCGTTATCCAGCTGGGGCTGATCCCATGGATCCGCAATCCCGGAGGAGGGTCCAGCACCCAGGGACCCCGAGGATGGTCCCAACGGGGATGGCACCCCCTGCATCCCGCTGGGAGCTCTCCCTGCCATGGATCCAGGGGGAAAACGGGGATCAAAATCCAGCCTGGATGAGTTGAAGGGATCAGAATGTTCGGAGGGGGGATCAGATCATTCCCATCCCCATCCCCATGGATTGCAGGGATCCATCCCTGGACACAGGGATCATTCCCATCCCTATGAATGGCAGGATCCATCCCTGGACACAGGGATCATTCCCATCCCTATGAATGGCAGGAATTTATCCCTGGACACAGGGATCATTCCCATCCCTATGGATGGCAGGATCCATCCCTGGACACAGGGATCATTCCCATCCCTATGGATGGCAGGATCCATCCCTGGACACAGGGATCATTCCCATCCCTATGGATTGCAGGGATCCATCCCTGGACACA